GGTGTGTTGTTGGATGAGTTGTTTCACGGTGTGTTGTTGGATGAGTAGTTGTGTGTTTGGTTGTGTGATGTTTCACTGTGGTCGAATTGGTTCATTTATTACGTAGTATGTGATTGAATGTTGGTTTGCAGTGTGTATTTGTCTGAGTGAGGTTGTAATTTGTGTGAGTGTTTTTTACGGAAAGTATATGTGATTGTTATGAAGGTGGAGGAGAGTTATGTTTATTGCAAGCAGCTCAGAATGCTGTTTGTTGGTGAGTGGGTAATTGCGATTTTTGATCGTGTTTGTAAATCAGTTTTTTTGTTAGTGGCAGTTTTTCCTTTATAGAGGATCGTTGGTTTTGAAAAGCATTGTCGATAAGGTGTTGATGGATTGGATGTTTACTTGTGAGGTATCGTATGGAGTGGCTGTTTTTTTATTCTTGGCGGGGTGGTTTTTTATAAGTTTGATGAACTATGGAATGCATTTTTTGGGCATCGGTTTGATGGTAATGTTTGGGCGTGAGTTTGTTGCAGATGTTAAAAGATAGTTGTGGTGTTTTGTGTTTGTTTGTTTGATATCGAAGATGGGTCTTATAGTGGTAAACTGTTTTTGTTTGAAGAATGAATGAATTTTTATATTGTGTTCTAAGATATAATTGAGACTAGAAAATGTGAAAAATGGGATGGTGTTTCATGTTGGTGATAGAAGTGAGTTCCTTTGTTTGAGTGTGGGTTTTTATTCTTCATTATTTAAGTTGTGTGTGGTGGTACATCGGGTATGTCTGTAAGAATTTGGTGTTTGTGGTTTTGACCGACATCATCTGCAGGTATGGTATAGTTAGATATGGCGACATTCAATAGTAGATGAAACAGATATACATTGAAGCTATCGTTTTAAAATTACTATTCTAGCCGTTCATTTTTAGAATCGTATATTAGATGAACCTGATGGAGAAGGAAGCATCACTCTCATATTTTCGAGTTCACTCACAATGATTATCAAGTGAATAAATCTTTTGTTGACGACAGTTTTATTTCTTTGAAAAAATTTATATTTTAATTTCAACTGAGACTATTTTGCATTCTATTATGAAAATATGCTTTTCTGATTATTGTACTGGACTATAAAAATTTCAGTTTTAGTAGTTTTAAGTTACTGTTATTTAAATAGATGATGATGTTGATGTAAATTCAGTGCATTCTGATAAGAAAGATGATAATAAAGATGATTCTTTTGTCTAATATCTTTCATAAATATATCAGAGTCGAAAAATAAACTGAATCAATGTTGAGTTTTTGAGAATGAGGTTTATAGTATGATCGTCGCAGACTGAGCGACTTTCTATTGATTGTCCAACATTTTCAACATAGGATTTCTGTAAGCTTAAAAGATCTATTTAGTACATCCACTAGTATTGCCTTACATCATTTTTTTGATAGCGTCATACAAAACGATGATAAAATATGTAAATAGCCCTTTGCTAGCAGTCGTCTCTTCAGATGAATAGTATTCTTCTGTTGTTGTTTCTTCAGATGAGTAGTATTCTGGTGTTGTTGTCTCTTCAGATGAATAGTATTCTTCTGTTGTTGTTTCTTCGGACGACTGATCTTCTGCCTTTGTTGTAGCTATAAAAAAAAGAATAATTTAAGTTTTTTGCCATTTTTAATGAAGAACTTTTGTTTGACAAGTTCAAAGAATACGTTTCATAGTTTGTTGTTATTGTTTTCAATTGAGTATTTCAATAGTAATTTTGTTAAATACAATTTATCACTAATCTGAATTCTGTCTTTTTTTAAGTAAACTTACTAAAAGTTAAATCAAAAGATCTTGTTTTTTTAAACGCTCATAAATTGTTTTATTACTCAATATATTTTGGTATAGAAAAAAAACGATTATATCTAGATTTGACTATTTTTTCAATTCTTTGAAGAATTTATAAATGATATATGTATAATTATTAAAACTATTATAGTTACTTGTCTCATGAGGCCGTGGTCGATGTCTTTGTCTGTAATAATAATTATTTTTTCTTTCTGGTTTTTTATATTCAGCAGTATCTTCTTCATATGATGTTGGCTTTTCTTCATACGATATTGGTTCTTCATCACCGGTACGTTCTTCATATTCATAATCACATTCTGGTTTGAATTGTGATTCATACTGACTTTGTACACCACCCATAAAAACACCTGTTTCTGGATTAAATCGTGGCATACCTCGCATTAAATCTATATAATGATACGAAAAAAAACAACATTATCAAACAATTATCTATTCATAGTAGATATACTAACATGCACCAGTATGAGCATAGTAGGCAGCATTAAAAAATGATGGCATAAGAGCATGAGTCTTAAGCATAGTAGCATATCCATATGCCATTAATTCAGCTACTGAAATTAATCTTCCATAAGCAGTAACCAATGGAGGTAAAACATAAACTAGAATTAAAAATAATAGTATAATATTTATTTATTATAAATCCCTATACCTCCATTTGATGAATAAATCATAGTATGACGAGTGAATCGATTAGTATAAATTGGCATCCTTCGAGAATATCGTATCCATGATCTCGAAAATTCTAGAATTGACAAGAAAATTTGTTTTCTTTGTGTATATAAACAAAAATAAATAATTGATTTTTACTATATTGACGACGATTATATCGAGCATATGGAAAACGGATTTGTTCAAATGAATCTTGACGCTCATCACGACATGATTGACGAACATAAACATCAAAATAACCTCGATCATCCGGTGTATCCATCTAATCAATTTAAATAATGATATAGAATTAATAAAGAAAAAAAAATACAATTACTTACGTTTGATAATGCACGTGGTATTCGTTTTTTATGATTTTGAGCAGCCATAGATTCATTATAAAACGATGTATTGATTGAATCAACCTCTGAAAATTTCATAATTATATTTTTTAGAATTATGAATATATTACATACCGTTTGTTTTATTTGTGTACTCATTAATTTTGAATGAGTTTGTGCTAATTACAAAAATTAGCATTGTAATAGTGATATATACTATAATCCTCGGTGGCTTAAACATATTCTCACATCGAAACCTATAAATAATCAGAATAGAATTAAAATAAATATGATTTAATTATAAAAATATATATTACCGTGAAAGGATTGAATGCCGATTTTGTTCGTGCCTATCTAAAATATCTTGTTGCTGTTCAATATACATTATTATTAACTCAGAATGTATCCTCTAGTGTTTATCTTTTGTGAAAAGAAAAGAAACTGATTTTGACATATACTCACTGAGTATATATATACATCGATATTTTGAAGATAAAATATCTTCGCATCAATCGGAGAATAAGAATTTGTATATATTGTCTGGTTTTTTTTTTAAATACCGAAACATAAAGAAGAAAAAGGAGTGGGTTAAATTTTTTGATCGCATAAAAGTACATCGTATGTGGGCTGTGGAATCTCAATAATAGAGTGAGGACGCAAATGTTTGAACTTGTACTTTTTCAAGTATAAAGTAAACGTACAAGTATTTCGAAAACATACTTGGTATTTATCCCTTATTCATATGCTATAATATCTTATTTAGTAATGAAAATACGTCGATTTGGTTCAGCTTAGATCGTTTTGCGTTAACCTGCAATTATCGACTTAAGATTTAGGCCTTTTCAATGCTCTAACTATAAATTAAAAATGAAAATTGTAAAAAGATAACATCAATAAAACAATTACTGATAAAAAAGTAAAGAATAAATATATAAGTACATCAAAACTGTGAGTTAGTTTTAAAACTATCAGTGCATTATAATAATCAGATATACTAATCTTATTTCGAAAATATATGTTGTATTTATCTCTGATGTAAATATCATTGTTTGTATATGACAATGAGACAGTTTTCTTTTATCACATCTTTTGATGATCGAATTGATAATAAATCAATTTTAATGTATAAAAAGTATAAATAAAATATATACAAGTGATATATTCATATCTGATGATGTAGCATCTTCATTATTATTATTAATTATACAACGTAAAAAAATCATCTACTGCATACTGTTCTTGATTCATAGATAAAATATTTTTAATGATTATGAGAGATCAATTCTATTCAGCTTGAATGTAAATTCTGAAAAGATAAAAAGAATGTGCAAAAAAAGTACATATGAAATCAGAGGTTAACATGCCTGTAAGTAAACATTCACTCATACACTCTATAGCGAACAGAGAGAGAGGGAGAGAATAGTTAAGATAATGATGATGAGTTATGTTTATAATATCCGATGGAAAAGTTAAAAATTGAATTTTTTAGATTAGAATTTCGAAAAAAATATTTCTATGAAAGATATATTTCTTAGTTTTTTTCTACGTGATAAAAATATTAGATCTTTATTTTATTTCAAGAGACAAAAATTTTTTCGTAAGTAAAACTAATCAACAACGACAATTACATGACGAATCGTACCTATTTCATCTATCTTTTGCTTCTTAAAATATATACTGAACAACTTTTTTTTAATTTAAAGAATGGAATATGAAAGCGCTTTAATTGTTCATAAACGTCGATGAAATATAGTTAGATCTATATTATAATGAAAAAACAATCTGCATGGCTTATTGTGTTCATATAATTTGATATGTTAACGTATTTTATCATAATTCAATATATAAGGATGAGAAGGAATTGATTCCTGTAATATTCAGCATCGCGAAATAGGATGTATTCTTAATTCTAAATCATCAATTGGATCACTTGATTGATAAGCATTGTCAATTAAAATAATCCCATATGCGTTCATCACTATTCGAAGTCGAGATTGTTAAGAATTAAAAACAGTTAGAAAATTTGTTTTTCACACACTTTGATCTTTATATATATATTTATATTTATATTTTAGTTTAAAAAGAAAAAAAAAGAAATTTAATAACATACAAAACAAAAACTATTTTTTTTATTATTATTTTAGTCCAGCTGTTCTACCAAGAATAAGACTAGCTGATAGTGGTGACATTCGTTCAACAACTTGTCGAATAGCACTAACATCCTGATGAAGACGATTGACAGCTAATTGTAAATCAGTTACACGTTCACCTAAATCTTGTGTAGACGATTGATTATGAGATTCAATATTTCCTTGTAATGAAGCTAATGTACCAGTACGAAATTGTTGACGTGATGGTATATTTGCTGCTGATCGACGAGGTGTAGGAACATTACTAAATGAACCATGTGCTACTCGAGGAGCGGTTTGATTTCTATCAACTTGTCCAAGAATTGATTCTTCTATTAATTCTCTTAATCGAGCTATTTCATCCATCACTATTGTTTGATTGTTTGTTACTGCTACTGTTGTTGTTGTTGTTGCAGGTGTTGGGATTTGTTGAGGTACAATTAATTGTTCTACAGGTACATATACAGATGGTCGTCTTGATGCAATTGGTGTAGCTGATTCTGATTTTTGTAGATGAATATCTGATTGTACTGATTGTTTAGGTAATGAATGAAATTTATTTAATGTTGCATCGATATCATTAAATTTTTGTTGTAATTGAATACGAAATGTATCAAATTGTACAGTTTGTTTTTCAATTGTTTGTCGAACAGTTATTAATGCTTTTGATTGTTGTTCTTCACGTGATTGTCCATAAACATCAAAATTAATATCTTTCCAATGTAATTGTAATGGTGAACAATATCGATGTATAACTTCTTGATTTTGTAAACGTTTACGTTTTGATAAACGCCATTCATAATTTAAAATAACTTCAACACGTTCAAGAAGAAAACGTGCTTCAACAGTTGAAAATGCTTCCGTTTGTAAAGCATTTGATATAAGACCAATAAATATATTAATAGATAATATGGCTGTAAATAATAAATATGTACCACAAACAAATGAAGCAAAATAACGATCAATAGCAGTAAATGAATCAATTGGAACTAAAATAAATTTATATTTATTTTAATGAACAAAAAAACAAACAAACTTACTATCATCAACTAATGCAATACGAAAAATTGAAAATAATAATGAATAAAATGATTCAAAACCATTTGGTTCAATTAACCGACATGTCGATGTTGCATTTGAACATTTTTCATCATCAAAACCGCTTAATGAACCATTAAATATATATTGACCACGATTTCTATACGAATCCGGACTTCCATCATAAGGAATTTGTAATTCATTCACTGCACAATTAAGTAATGCATGTTCACAAATTTCATGAGATTTCTCATAATCACTATGAAGTACTTGTTGACCACCAAAAACAGCATAGAAAACAAATGCATATGGTGCAAGAAGAAAAAGAAATACCATTAAAAATCGTATTATATCATCAAACATCATACGAACCTATATAGATTTTAAAAAAAATTTTTTTCATCTTATTTAAATAATAAGTATTTATAGGTCAAGTTAAGTGTGCTCTAAATTTTCGCGAAAAACTCTTTTGATTGCTCTAATAGATACTCTGAACCAGTGGCAGATCTAGGATTTTGGAAGGGGGGGGGGATCGTTTTTGGTTAAAAGCTATTTTGTGAGTCCAACAGAAGTAGTGTGAATCTATTTTTTCGTTCATTTTTGCTGTAAAAAAAAATTCGGAAGGGGAGCGATCACCCCCATTGCCCCCCCCCTCCCTAAATCCGCCACTGCTCTGGACTGTGCTAAGTCGACTGGTGATGCACAAGGAAAAATAACACACAGTTACAATCTGTCGCAAAACTCATAACCTTCATATTTGGAGCTCACTTAACTTGATGAATTATTATAAAATAATTAAACTTACCATTATAACTAATTCACCTAATTTAATTTCAACTAATTTTGATCGTAATGATTTTACTGATATAATTATTGTTCGAAAAAAGACCATGAAACGAAACCATAAACATATAACAGTAACTGATGCAATATACATATGTATACGTGCACGTATTACTGTATGTCCACTTATATCAATACCATGTGTTACTGTTGTGAGTATGCATAGTATATAAATAATCCAATCGAATAAATTATTTAATGAATAATACATATAATAAGATTTAATACGTGTTCTTGCACGATCTCGAAAACGTCGAGCAAATCGAGCAATTCGCGATGCTCGCCGTGGTGATGTTGATGATGAAAGAAATGGATTATCAACAGAAGGTGCAGGTACTGTTTTTCTTTTTACACTACTCGAAGGATTATTCGATGAATCAGATGAATTAACAATTATATCAACAGGTATTTGTTGTATTAATTGAGTTTCAATAGGTTTACCTTTGATAATTGTTGGTATATTCGGTGGTAATGGATGATGTTGAGAATGATGAGAACGTATATTTGATATGATTGGTGCAGATTCATTTATAACAATATGTTCAACTTCTCCAGTATCATCATTTAATTTTGCTACACTACCAATTTTTTTCACATCTAATTGTGATGATTGTCCTGTTGTATTTGGTTTATATGTATTTTTTGACATTAAATCTAATCGAGTATTGGTTCGTTCCGATTCCCAAATAAGAAAATCTTCATAACGTAATCGTGCATATGTTATATCAAACATTTCTTGAATTATTTTCCATATAAGAAAACCAACACTTATTGCCCATAGTATACAACGCCATATATCATATGGAAAACGATAAACATAACGAATAGGAAATGGTGTTATTAATGAAATACATGTCCATGATATAAGAAATAATACTTCAAGTGCTAAACCAATATAAAAATGTTGTGATGCAAAATTATCCCATTTCCATTTAATTAAACCTTTTATAAGTGGATGAGTTATTAAATCAAGACGTTCATGATAATAAATAGCTTCTAATGGCGTTATTGGACGCATTAATGTACCATCTGGTCGAAATTTATGTGTAATTGATGGTCGTGGTACGTTAGATGGAACATTTAATAAAGGTGTACTTGCAGGATTATTAATTTGAGATGATGCTACTAATTTATTAATTGATGATGGATTTGCTATTGATTTATCTTTATTTTGTGTTTTAAGTTTACTCTAAAAAAATTGAATTTGTTAAAAAATGAATAGAATAATAAAAATCTAACAAACTTTTCGTATATCAGAAGCCATAACTAATTCACCAATAAGATTTGATGAATCATTCGAATCAATTGAATCAAATTCTTCCCTAAAAACAAATTATTATTATTTAAAATATATATTATATTTCAATTATACCATGGTTCGATATGATCGAGATAAAGATGAACAGCTTTTTGTACTTCATTAACAACAATTAATGAATCCATTATATCAAGTGCGATTGTACTAGATTCATCACTGAATAATAAAGCTAGAAAAACTTGCATACTATTATCAAGTGATTTATATAAGCAAATATTGCATTTTTCACATGGTCTTAGATGTCCTTGTGTTGTTTGTATGAAACCTGTTTGTTGACAATGAAAACATTGTCGTTTAGCTTGTGTAACACCTGTTGATGATACACCACAATGACCATCGCGTAATGAATGTGATAAATGTTCATAAGATTCTTTCCATTTTGAATTAATTTGTTTAATAATAGCATAATGTTTAAAATCATTAGCTAATTCCAATGGAGTTTTATCATCATTATTTTTTCGTAACATCATATTAGCCCAAAACCAAAATTTCACACGAGATATATTAAGAAAACAATTTAAAGCATTTGGTGTATCTTCACGAGCTTGAAAAAACAAATAAACATTTAATTCAATTTATATGACAAAATTGTTTTTTCAATATTCTAATTGAATTAGTAGAGATTTTTGATAAAATATCAGTTTTATTTGTAATAAGATACTAATATAATTGATTTTATCCTCGAGTCAAGAATGTAAATATGTTTCATATTACTCAAACATTTCGTTATAGATAACTTGAAATAACTATGTGGTTTTTTATATCATGTCTATTCATAATAGAAATAGGAGTAGAAGAAAACAAGCTGAAAAATTTTGATTCTCTCATATTGAAATATAAGATTATTTTTTACTTATACATAGTTCTGCTAAATTTATCTCAATAAATATTTCATATTCATTTCTTTTTGGTTTAAAACTAATAGATGAAAATAATATTCGAATAAATTTTTGATTTTACCTGCTATATGAAGTAAATTATCGCCATTGGTTAAACTACATTCAGATAAATATGTTAATAATTCATTATCGGAAATAAATGAAAGTAATGTTTCAAGACAAATCGAATTATTTAAATTAAATCTCATATATGTATGAATAATCATATCACCATGTGTTGAAGAACGTACATTTAAACAATTTCGATCTTTTTCAAGTAATAATTGTACCATTTCATAATTATTCATTTGCATAGCCATTTTTAAATCAGTTGATTGTATATGAATTTTTTGTTCATTAAGTAGAAGTTTACTAACATCATCATGATTATATAATATAGCTAAACTAAGTGGTGATTGATTATCAGCATTTAATTGATTAATATCAACATTTGATGATTTAATTAATGTACGAACTAATTCAACATTACCTGTAAATAAAATATGAATAAGAAGATTTTCATTACTAGTCTTATTTTTATACAATACCTTTTTCTGCTGTTAAATGTAAAACTGTATTTCCTCGTATATCTTTTGAATTTTCATCTGCACCATGACGAATTAAATATCTTGCTAATACACCATTAATATTCTCTGCACATTCATGTATTGGTGTACGTCCTTGTATATCTAATGCATTTAATTGTTCAGTATTCATTTTATTAATTAATAAAGCTGCAACATTAGCTTTTTCATTTGCACATGCTAAATGTAATGGTGTTTTACCCATACGATTTGTTATAGTTAAATCTAATTGGGCATATTTCATTAATAATTTATACATTCGTATATTATCATCTCTTGCAACTAAATGAAGTGGTGTATTTCCTTCTTTATTTGTTAAACTAACATCGCAATTATGTTGAAGAAGATATTGTGCAAATGAATAATTATCACAAATAATTGCATCATGTAATGGTGTTTGTCCATCACGATTTTGTGCATTTAATGATGTTGGATTTGATGTTAAAACACTATCATAAATAAATTTTTCATCTAAATATTTGCAATAATGTAAAGCTGTATTTAAAAATGGATCAAGTATATTTATATTTGTAACTTCAATATGACGAAGAAAAACGGCAAGTAATTGAAAATTATTTTGTTCTAATGCATCAAGAAATGGTGTACGTCCAAGTAAATTTTGTCGATTAAAATCAGCTGATGTTTCAATTAATTTTTCAACATATTTATCATAATCAATTTCTTTTTTATTAACTAAATAATGTAAAAATGTATTACCATGTTCATCACATTCATTTATATCAAGTGAATGTTCAACAAGTAATTCAATAGCATTTATACTAGGAAAATCACATAATAATGGTGAACGTGGTAATTGAGAAAAATAACGTTTCCAATTAAAATTTGTTGTTAAATCAAATAATGCTTTTAAACATGAATCATATTGATATTTAACACATATACATACAGGTGTTTCAAGTGGATTTAAACGTGTACCTTTTTGAAAATCAGCATCATTTTCTAATAAAGCTTTTAATGCTTCAATATTATCATCGTAACAGCATATATGTAATGGTGTTAAACCATCTTCATCAAAAACATTTATACGAGCTTTATAATTTTTTATTAATAAACGTACACTTAAACTATCATTTTTATGTGCTGCAACATGAAGTAGATGTGTTTGACTTGGATAATCTAAATTACAAAATAATAGAGTGATTAATAAGAATATGTAACTAACCAAAATGCCGTTCAAATGTTGGAACATTAACATCATCCATAACTTTAAGTAAGAATAAAGCTAAATCAGTATTACGTGTTGCTAATGCATAATGAGCTGAAAATAAATATATAAACATAATTAACTATCAATCAATTTCTTTATATAAATTTTTTTCGATATACTAGTAAAAGATCAGTAAATGTACTTTTGGTATTTATCAACAAATATCAAGTCAAGGTTAATATACATGACATAATTGATATATGACGAACTCTGACAATATACTTATAATGACATATATCAATAATAGAAATATTATTTTTAGTCATCTAATCTTTAATTTATTAATATGAAACTTCTTTTCACTATAAATCCAACATTAGTATTTAAATAGTTATGGGTTTTTTTTTGAAAGCAAAATTTTTTTTAATTTTTATTGCAATGTACTGAATAATCCCGTTGTTGTTTTGCCATTTTGGATATATACCCACATATGCCGTGAAAGACATGACTGTCCTTGCAAAACATGTTTTCTCATCAGCATACCGATCAATTGCTATACATTTTGTCTCTCATGATGTCTAATTTCGTATAAACAACTCAGTATAAATACCTGCTGTCCATCCATAATCATTTTGTTTATTAGCATCACAACCACCTTTTTTTGTTAAATATTCCACAATATGAATACATTCAGTTGAATGTATTTCAGCACGTGCAAGTAAATGTAATACAGTATTTCCTTCTTCAGTAATACAATTTAATTGTGCACCATTACGTTCAAATTCTTGTATAATATCTAATTGTGGTTGAGGTTCAGAGAGAATATAAGTTAATAAAGCTTTATTTTGTGTAGCTGATGAAAATGATGGATCAGGAGCAGTTGTACGACCAAATAAAGTTTTCTTCGCATCAGTTAATTTCGCAAATAATGATTGTGAAGTTTTTGATGTTGTTGTTGTTGATGGTGGTGGATTTGTATCATCATTTACAGTTAATGATTGCATTGATGATAAATGTAATGATTCTTGAGATGATTTATGTGAATCGTTTGTTGTATTATTATTATCACGATCGTTTGGTGAATGTGTTTGATGCCTATATAAGAAATAAAAAAAAAGAATTATTATTTACAATATATTATTGCGAGTAATGCTATGAAACTGACTAAGTATGAGAAGGTCAAAACGAAAGAATGTATCTTCGTTAGAAATAAAGGGTAATATGCAAACAAACTAAGTCAAATTGTTGATTTCTTCGGCATCAACATACTCAGACCTGAAACACGTACCG